TGCCAACGCACGTCAGACAGATACCATGCAATATCTTGGAAGTCCAACACAAGATGAGTACTGGCTGCAACCTTCAACTCCAAAAATTTGATACCAAGAGGCACCGATGTCAGATAAGCATGTTGAGGTGTCAGCCTGAGTTCAAAGCCTAAGTTCCTCATCTGTGGCAAGCTCATAAGCAAAGGGACTTCTCCTTCTTCCACTATGTCGAACTCTGTATGGTGGATCGTCCATGCACGATCATACATATAAATCACCAGTTTCTGAGAGCAAGTAGCCTTCTGGGAATTGGCAAAGTAAAACTTGCTCTTGGTAGACTCAAAAGAGTACCATAATCCACAATCTGGGTGATTGTCGACATAGTTGCAAAAATGGTCGACTGCTCGCCTTGATCCCATAGCTCTAGTGCATCCAATGTCCAGGATTGCAATAGTTGGCGGGAAGCGATTCTCAGTCAAAAATGAAATAGCCTGCATCTCCTTCACTTCTTCCTCAGCGCTCATAAGCGCAAAGCCATCAGCGCTCATAAGCGCGAAGCCATCAGGAGCCTTTGTGAGCATCTCCTTTGACAAAGAGTACCTCACAGGGGCACTCATGTCATCGAAGATCGTCTCACCATTGTTGACCACGCAGTCAGCTTCATCTTGGCATGAGGTCATCATGCCTGACAGCAAGTCCACCTCACTGTCATGGACTTCAGCTGCTGCTGTCACACAATGTGCAAAGAAACCTTGTTGACCTCCTGATGCTTGTGAAGTTCTTGAAGGTGCAGGTAAAGAACGTGGCTGTTGTTGATTTGCATAGTTTGCATCTTGTTTGCCATCTCCTTTATCTTTTCCTTTTCCTTTCTTGCCTTTTCTCTTGCCTTTTCCTTTTCCTTTGTGGGAAAACCATGCTTCTTCAAGCTGTTGCCAAAAGTCATTGGCATCATCATATTCTCCTTGAAGATAGTCATTCATATCCTCGGCAAGAATGGCATCATATGCTCCTTGGGTTGACTCCCAAGTGTCCTCATAAGGATTCTCTTCAAGGTATTCATCTGGAAAAGTTGTCTGTTGCTCATCAGCAAAATGGCCTTTACCTCGTCTCTTTCCTTTTCCTTTTCCACGAGGTCTGAAGAATCTACGGCCTGATCTTCCTTTTCCTTTTCCTTTTCTTCTACCTTTTCCTTTGCCTTTTCTGGCTCTTCTTCCTTGGAATCTCCTTTGGAACCATGAGAAGTTTTGATCATCATATACCCAAAAGACATCGTCCAGGGCATCTAGAAATCCTTCAGTTCCATCTTCTTCATCTTCGGCCCAATAGCCAAATGTACCATCGAGTTCTCCTTCGTCTAGTACGAGAAATGATCTTCTACCTCCAGCACCTGTCGGCTGCATCAAAGGATTGTCTACTGAAGTCTTTGTTGTGCAGAACATCTCGATGAACACTGTCCTCAGCTCTGTTGTAGTGTATTGCTGCAGGTACCTGCCACGATGAGTCATCAACGAAGTCAAAGTGTTTCGCTGGTCCTGAGACAAATCTGCAAGTGACAGCATTAGTAGGGCAATGAGATTCTCTCCTAAAGGAAAATCATTCTGATGAAGAATTCTCATATTGCCATTGACATTCTGCATGATTTCCTGAATCCTTTCTGCCGTTGGTGCTACTCCAGTCAACGCTGCATCTGCCTGCATCTGAGCAAGGACTTGGGGATGTGCTTGAGTGACTGGTTCTAACATGTCCATCCAACTGCTCATAAGCCTTTGGAGTAAAATCTGGAATCTTGTCATCCATTTCATCATGTCGGCTGATCCTCGATTGAATCGCACGAATTGCATAAACCTGTATAGGAATACATTGGTTGATCCTTTCACGAAATATGGTCGTAGTACTCGTTTGAAGTAATCTACTCCTGCTCCTGGTGGCTCATTAGCCTTCAATGAATCTCTGTCTAATACACGTTTGTATACTGCTGCTTCTCCTTCTAATCTGTTTCTCAAAGCTGGTCCTCTCTTCTCATCTTCCAGCTCGGTGATATCACACCAATCGTCTATGGCATCCTCATAGGAAAACCATGAAGTCTTTCCATCATAAGATGGGGGCACCTTTGTAGTGACCTGTGTTGTCATTGCTATTGCTGCTGGTTCTCTTCTCACATGCCTATTCACGTAGGCTGCTGGCTCATAAGCCACATCCGCATCAGGCTCTTCCCAGTCGTCAATCCAATCCATGGCCGTTTGCCCACAAGCAATTCTATGCCTAGGAAAGGAGCTCACCTGGGTCTTCCAGGATCACTGCTCCGCTACCACTGAAAGAGTGACTAGGGCGTACACGGTAGAGGTGCAGACCGCTAGTGTCTTTTATGCGCAGAGTCTTATCCTCTTGCTCTTTGAGCCTTGAAGCAGTCAAGCATGGACACACTATATCGGCTGTTGGAGTGGAACCCTGTACAGGTAGGCTCTACTTTTCAGGGGGGGGGGGGGGGGGGGGGTCTTCGACCTGAATAATCAGGGGTTAGGATTTGCACCCGGTCGAAAGAAACCTTGCTATCGCAAGAGTAACTCCAGCTAGCTTCGCTAGCTTTCGTGATAATTGTGCTACTCTTTTTAGACAAGGGTCGTCTCACCCAAAACTTCAACTGTCAGGTACCGATGTACAAGACCTGAAGCAGAACCATTCATGGTCTGTCATTCCGTTCATGCTGACTATGTCGAGCTTCTTGTTACCTACTAGCGATGGCCTTGTTACCTACTGGCGATGGCCGAAGCAAGCCGTCCTGTAACTCGGGTCGTGAGCCATCCCAAGAGGACATTCTCAAGATCCGCCTCTGAAACGCCGCCGAAGGTTTGGAGATCGGTTCGAGCGCCTTCCACGCACTGGTCGGAGACTAAGACTAGGATGATCTGCTTAAGGACCTTCGGCTGCCCCAGCTTGCGCCAAGACTCCAGAAACCTGAAGAATCCATAGACAGGACGCAAGAACACAAGGATTTCAGGACGGAACAAACGAGTTGCGAGGGATAACCCTGATTCTGATTCCGAAGTTCATTCTGAGGACTCACATGGAATCAGCATACCAAGCACTCTTAGGCCAGAACCCGTCAAGCTTTCCACTGGCTTTGCGGAAAGCGATGGCACGACGATCTGGGGAGTCTTGAAGGAACTTGACCAAAAAGGTGCTGAAACTGTCTTCTTTGAACCAGTCCTCTGGCGGAGGCGCTCTCCCTGTCACGTTTTTCATGGGTCCCAGGCATGGGAGAGAACGTACACTGAACCCCATTGGTTGGTGCGCTTCTTGTGGGGTGTGCAACACCAGAACTCGAACTCGATACAATCCGCTTCAGGCATTCTAAGGATTCCATCCTCACACACGTTCAAGGTGAACAATTTGTTGATGCGCGACTTGCTTTCAATCAACAACCTTTGACTGCGTCAGCCTACACATGTACAGTACAATGTATGACCTGCCGCGGTAACACATGAATTGCAGGCGGCCACTTGTAACTATCTCAGTGTTGTTTCATTCCAGAATGTTGAGACATGCAACAACTGAGAAGCATGGAATCCATCAAAGCAATGACGCTACTAGGGGCTCCTGGCCATACTACTAGGAGCAAGGACGCTACTAGGGGCTCCTGGCCTCGCTACTAGGAGCAAGGACGATAGTAGGGACGTTAGGGGGCGACATTCCGTACTTGGCCATGGACTCCTAAAGTCGCCGGATCTCCAGCTCCCATCTTCACTATCTTCAAACTGGAATGACTCACGTGTCCCGGCTGGTTAAAAAACAGAAAGGTCAAGCAATGTCTGTGAGAGCCCCAAGCAGTTTCTTTACTTTTCTTCTTCCTTCTTTAAACCAAGGAGTGCTCTCTTCAAACCAATTTCGGAGCAATATTGGCTTGCGTCGGGGCGCAATCGTGGTCGGGAATGCTACGAATCTCTCTCTCTCTCTCTCTTAGGCTTTGCTTAGTTTGGCCACCGCTACTGTTTCTGCGACTGCTACGCCACGCTGTTGCTCCTGCTCCAGCGCCTGCGGTCGTACGACAACCGCTACTTATGCGGCGGTCGGCTCCCCTTAGCGCTGCTACCACGCAGCGGCCAAGGCTCACCCCTTTCTAGTAGTAGTGTCCTTGTTCCTAGTAGTAAGGCCAGGAGCTACTCATAGCGTCCGATCGCTCTGTTCGTAGCGATGCCCTTTGTTACGTTCGTAGCGTCCTGCCCAGTTACATCTCTCATTAAAGCCAAGCATCGCCATCCCACACGATTGCCTTGGCCATTTTGGTTTCTTCCGCGGCTTTGCTGTGCCACCAGCCCTCCTCCTTCTTTTCAATCCCTGAGCCAAATCCCTTCAGGGAGGCAAGGGGAGTGAGGCCCTTGTCACGCAAAGTGCGTTGAAACGATGCCTTAGCTCATCCACAAATAGGAACATGATGAAACAAATAGCCTCCAACACCTCACAGCGATGGCCTCCACCCTAATAGCGATGGCCTCCAATTTAAGAAGAAAATAACGAAAAACAAACTATATATATATTATATACATATAGACTATAGAGAGAAATGAACATGTTTCAAGGGCCGACGGCCAGCTTGTCTTAAGAAGTTCAATATCTCTCCGCCTAGAAGGCTAGTCCAGCCAATGTAGCTGAGGATGGTCAAAACCTGAAAAAAAACAGTTTCTAGTTGCCAAAGATTGTGCTTGTCATAAGTCTGTAGATCTTATACTATATCTTCTTACCAACCTGAGCACCATTGCCCAGAAGTCAACAATCTCTTCATTGATTCATTCTGTGAGGTAGTTCTCTCCTTGGTGACGCTAAACACCCCAAAACTTGCCAAATAGAGGTTGTTTCGGCAATTTGGAAGAGTCGCATAATCAAACCTGTTCAGCTCCAGCTTTTCACAGAAATCCTCAACCGCTGGAGTGCTCGCCATGATTCTGTGATTCTATCTCTTTGTCACTTTGCCTTTCTGCTGCTGAAAGCGAGCCGTTGATGCTGTTGAATTGAATTCCCTGACTGTGACATTTATCCCAGTTCCTGCTGAAAGCACAAATCTCGCGGTAACGAAAGATCCCCCATAGCAAAGCACCTCGAACATGTCAAGTATGCCTGCCACGGAAAGCTTTCGTGAGTGATTCGATGATGTCTCGAATGATTGAGAGCAGGAGAGCTTGAGGAGTATGGGTACATGTTTTTCTCTGGATCAGGCTGAGGCCAAAATAGGCTGAACAGGCTGAGCAGCAGGAAGCCGAATGAGCGCACTCCTTCTTGGAGCTCCACGCTTCTGGCCTAATCAGGAGACCTCCAAGTTTCCGGCGGGCACGTCAATCCTCAAGGGCAAACACTTCTACTAGTAACAAGTGCCTCGCTAGTAGTAACAATGTTTGCTATTAGAATTAAATTTAAGTTAAAATAAATACTTCACGGCAAATGCCCCTTCGCCTTCATAGCATGGTGAAGCATGGTGAAGCAATTACTTGTGGCTGAAGGTCACTTGTAAGTCGTAGCTGCAGGTGAGACACATCGCTTCTTTCAGGCGCCGTTTTTCTGCCTCGTCCTGACAGTTGTCTGACTTTGCCCAGGGGAAATGGTGCTGGGCACAGGCAATGCGCAGCACACGTATTGAACCGATCTCCTTTGCGAGCAGGATGCGCAGCTGAGCAAACAGTCGATTGACCTACCAGCCGCGCGTGGCCACAAAGACGGAGAAAAAAGCAAGAAAATCACACGGTGGACGGTAAAAAAAACACCAACATACATCTTGCGCCTGCGCAAAAAGCCAATATCCCGTGGACGGCGCGTAGGGCTGCCCCTCTGAGAAGGGGAAACCTTTGCCAATCCTCCACAAAACGCCAAAGAAGCCACCCATTCCGCCAGTGTTGCCCACCATCCGATCCATCCTGAAACGAAGGAATTCATACGACACTTCATTCCCACGTGGTCGTTCAAGTGCAGAAACAGAAACAACTCTTCAGAAGTACAACACATCTCAAAACATCCAAGTGATTTCTTGGCCAACCTGTGGCTGTGCAATGCTGTGCATTTGGGCCAAGTCTCACATATCCAATGGTGAACTTTGTCACCTGGCCCTTGTCGTTGAAGGTTAAACCTCGCCAGTCACTGGGATTGCACATGTGCATTCCTGTGGCATTCACTGGCACCAACCGAAAGGAAGGCAAGATTCCAGCATGGTTCCAGCATATGAGGCACAAGGGATCTAGTTCCCGGCAGTTCTCCAGCAAGGTTTAGCAAGGTGCCAGAGTTTCTTGACGGCTTCAAGGTAACTTCCAACAGGATTCCAGTCCCTGTGTCCTTGCAAAAAAAAAGAAAAACCGCCCCTCCGGTCCTTGCAAGCAAGAGCTCTAGAATGATTTACAGCAGGTTCACAAGTGCTAGTGTGTCGAAGCATTTCGGCGAGATTTGAGGGTTCCAGTTTCAGCAAAGTTCAACCGAACTTTTCCGGCGTTACCCAATGCATCCAGTTGTGCAAACTGAATCCCAAACAGCCTGTTTTACCAATCCAACATGCTTTTCTCCCCAAACAATTGCAAGCAAATCAACTTCGCACGAATTTACTCCGATCTAAGGCCCTCGCTGCAAGCTTGCGGAGGGTTTTCAAATTGAAGGCCTGTGGGCTCTCCAAAGACCAGTTCGGCATCTGAGCCTTAGGTCAGATCCCAAGGAGTAGTTTTCTCTAGGACAGAGCGATCGGACGCTACGTTCGGGGCTCCTGGCTGTACTACTAGGAGCAAGTAGCTACTAGTAACAAGAAGCTATATAACACAGTGGGGATTAAGCCGTACGGAGGGCGAAGTCACTGCTCAAACGAAGCCTGAGCGAGTCAGGGAGACCTCTTCTTGCAAATAAAGTCACGCCAGATTCATCTGAATTCAAAGAATTTTGTCCGATTCGACTAATTAGCAAACAATTACTTTGGGTCTCAGATTGGATTTGGGTAGATAGCACGCTGAGAGGGAAGGCCCTTGGACTTGGCAAGTTTAATTGGACGCTCCAATTTCAATAACTACACAGGCCAAACATCTTTGTGGGTTTGACTCCACCCTGCTCGCTGGAACCCCCAAACCACTCTATCTCCTTCTCTCTCTGGCCACGGAACCAATCATTCGACACAGTTTCCACAAATCATACTCTGATTTCTTTTGTGGTGTCTGAAAAATCGAGGCTGTAGGTTGGTAGAGGTTTTCCAAAGACTCAGATGACTCAGCAAACCAAGCAATTTTTTCGAGTTCGATTTGTCTGGACCATGAGGTCCGCTGGTGGCCAATAGATCTCACTCATTGACCCTGAGATCCGCTACTCACCCGCTGCGAACACTCGAGTTGTAAGTCTGTTCTTCTAGTGAAACCTTGGTTCTACCGTTGTGTACACGTGTTCATTGGCGTGTCTCTAAACCAGGAACGGAAAGATGCAGCTCTGAAACAAGGCCAGCGACGAAATTGATGCGGATGAGAGGTGTATGAATGAAGGCGAGAAACACGCAAAAAGAAAGGAAGGTGAAGGGGAACACAACAAGCAAAGCAAAGCAGGCCGACCCGTGAAATAGACAAAAAATTAGAAGCAAAGGACGGGACTGCACCTATGCGGACAATGGCCCCCAACTACCAGCAAAGGTGCCTTGTGCCGAACCAAGAAACAATTCTGGCCAAAAGGTCAAGAAGTGTTGACGGGCAACTCACTGCAAGGACCGGACTCCACGTGGATTGACTCCAAATGTGCAGGACCGGACCGGACCGGAAGTCCACTTCATGGTTGCGAGATGGACCGCAAGCCTAAAATCCATCAGTGATGCAGGCATTTGACTTGAACCGCGCACCAAGGATTGCACTCACAGGACCTCAAGAGCAGTTGTCCATCATACAGGGGTGCTGCTAAGGCTAAGGTTGGCATGGCGATTGGCAAAATGTTCTGACCGTTTCGACCGTCTTCTTGTTAGCAAACCGTTGGGCTGCGCGTGCAATGTGCCATATAATGCCAACTCCGGAACCTAATTAAAAGTGTGTCAGGGGTCCAGTATAAGGCTCGGTGCTCTTTTGGAAGCAGGTAGCTCGGACAAGCCTGCTCAAGCGTGCCCCAAGGCATTTGGATCTGTTTATTTGAAAGGAAGCTTTGCTGCACTGGGTGACTACAGAAGTGTATCCACTTCCGAAGTAAAGGAACATCAAGAAAAGCAAGCACATACGCACACAAACCCGTTTTTCCGTGTGGGTCCGTGTGGGGTCGAGAACTCGTCGCACCAAATGCTGCGAAGCAACCTGGTAAAGCTCGCCCTGTGTGGGTGCCATTTCCACGCACGGTCCACCACACACGGTTGGGTTGGAAGGGGTCGACCCTGCTAAGGAAGATCTACCAAGATGCATACCTAGATCCTCCAGAGGCTGCACAATTTTAGTACCTTTGGACAAAAACACCCCTTGGAAGAGAGGGGTGGAATTTCCAGCCAGGGGCTGATTTCATGTTTTGCATGGTTTGGAAGGAATGACTCCTCAGAAACAGCACATTTTCTTCCAGAACTCCAGCCCAGTCCTGGTTTCGCTGCTCCGGCCTTTACTCCGAAGGTTGGGCGCAGCTATTTCCAGGAGTTGGATGACATTCACAAATGGGCTCAGGATAGGAGCTTGGAACACTGCCCCAAACAGAAAGGAGGCACATGATATTTGGGGATTAAACAAGCAATCTGCCCTGGAATGGCTGGGCTGATTATGGGTTTGGAAGTGTTTGGAATATCCACTGCAAAGCTTTCCACTGTATAGATCCATGAGTTTCTTCACCACTTGCTGCCATGTCGATTTTTTTCCCTGACTGCACAATGGATCAGGTGCTCCTGCCCTGTTTCTTTGTTGTCTGGGACCGCATGCTACTTTGGGACATGACTTCATCCAATTTGTTGATTTGCAAATGCATTGATTATACAAAGCGCTGTTTGGACCTATCTGATCGACTACTTTTATAATCGTTTATATTGTCTTCTGAAATGAGATGTTGCAAAACTAAAGCTTGGCATCATTTTTCATTAACTCGCATCACAATGCTTTGCTCAAGCCTGTTTTATTTTGGGAGTGGCTCCATCCTGGTTCCCTTGCAAGCCCTCAGTGAATGGCGCTGGCTCACTCCAACCTGGCCGACGATGGCAGCGAAGTCGCTTCGGGGAGGAAAGGAAGCCTACCGCCGGTTGGGTTGTTGGCTGAAGCATGGGAAGATGACCGTGTGATTCGCGATCGTATCCGGCACAATGATGGCAAACTAGTGCAGTGGGTTTCTCCACAACTCATCAACAAACCAAGTATGGCGGCCATTGCAATGAACAGTTGTGCGTTGACCCACTTGGCACGGTGGTGGTGCCGCCGGCAAGGGACTCCAAAATCCCCATCTGTCTTGGACTTGAAAAAGGAGGCATCCACATGAACAAAATGTGTTTCATTGTTGAGTTGTCTATATGAGGTATTTCTCAAGAAAAGGCTACAACACCATACAACACCAGGTCCCCTTGGTTTATCAGCCATTGCAATATTGTTATTCCTGTCCGGTGCTTTCCCCTGAAAGGTCAATCATCTTCGAGGAATGTGCCAACTTCCCACAGATCTCGTTGCCCTTCATTCTGATGCATGGGGGCTCAAGAAGCTCTTCACATATGGTGTGCGCAAGTCAGGCTCCGACAAGCTGGCCTCAGGAAGTCCTTTGCGTCGAGAATCTCAGCAAACATGTAATCCTCAGTTTGCAGCAAAGTTGTAGTAGTAAAGATAGCCGATAGCTCTAGCCTCATGTTTCAGGATTCAGTCTTGTTGAGAAACCATAATTCGAACTGCAAATCCTTTGTGATCTTTAGTGCACATATTATAGTCCTTTCAATTGCATCAACCCTTCATTCATTTGTTGGCACCAGTGCAATGTGAAGCAACCCAAGGAAGTTGGTACCAACCCTTTCTTCGATGAGTTGTTCGTGCATTGGAATGTGCGTCTTCAACAAGGCGTCAAGACCATTGTGGTTGAAGTGGAGGGCAGCGATGATGAATCTACTGATTTCTCTGAGTTCATCGTTGTCAAAGATGATCCATACCTTGTAGACAACAAGGCGGTCAAGGCCACAACAGGGCAACCTTCTACAACCACTACGGGTATGGTGAAGTTTGAGGGCAATGAAAAGCACACTGAAGTCGTGTTTGTCGAGGACCCTACACCAACCAAAGTGAAAGCGGAACAACCCAGTGGCGCTAAAACCACAGTGGATGAGAGCCAGCCAAGAGTCATCAGCACTGGCTTGCCTACTGATGACGAGAGTGTTGGAGCCCGGATTGCCAAACTCAAGTCCCCTGGCCAGAGTACACACCTGCTGCCCTGGCAGTATTGGTTATTCGAACGCACAACATAATTGATTTATATATTTGGTTATCGAAACGTTTTTTGTTTGAGGTGATCGATGTGATGTGATTAAAATAAACTTTGAATCTCCAAAGACTGATGATTTGACATCCACTTCAGGGGTCTTCCCTTGAGCCTGCCCAATACTTAGGTTGGAGCTGGCCAAAAGGGCTGCTTCTTCGTGCGTGCCAGACACTGCTGAGACGCAGCCACTCGGTGAGGGGCTGGCCACGGCCGTTGCTTCTGCATTGGCTGCTGTTCCGGAGCCCAAGGTTGCAACCTTTGAGGAGAACAAGGGGCTGATGGACAACAATGATGACGGCCTCAAGCGCTCTTTGCAAAGACAGTTTTCATCCATGATCACTGAAGATCCTTATGGGGAATGCCCCAATGCTGATGATGAGCCAATGGAGGAGGTTCCAGACAATCAGTTGGGATTGAGGTCAGAGTGCTCCAGCCCCATGTGTGAATCCAATGAGGCTCACACTGCCCCAGCCTTGGAATGCAAAGGTCCGGGTGGTCATGATGAACCTTCAGAGCAACCCGCAGCAGCTGGGCCTTCCGATATGCATGAAGCAGGTGGAGATTCAGCATCGGATGTCCTGCAAACAGTTCCGGTAAGGGAGCCTGCAAATGACGCAAAGCCTCCAGAACCTGAAGAAGGTCAGCCTATGCATGCCAAACCTGAGGAAGAGCATCCTATGCAAGCTGAACCTGAGCCTGCAGAAGCTGAACCTTCAGACCCAGTTGGCAAGGTCAATGTGGAGTCCCCTGAGGCTTTTGCGGAGACCCATGTGTCTGCAGCTGCACCAGCTGCTGCTTTGAAGGATGATGTGGAAGTCATTCCAGAGGATGAGGATGAGCCACCAGTTGTGACAAGGCGAGATCAGTGGGGATTGAAGCCACCTTCAAAACCAAGAGGAAGAAAGCCTGCAACTCCAAAGCCCAAGGATGAGCCCAAGCCAAAGGCAAAGGCAAAGGCAGGTTCTAAAGGGGTCAATTTGAAGTGGATCACCATCGACGACGTCTTGGAACCAACTCCTGCCCCTCCGAGTGCAACCGCTTCTTCCAGCCAGAGTGCGGCGGCTGCTTCCAGCCATGTGGATGGGGAAGGCGAGGGATCAAGGCTTGAGAATGGTTCCAAGTTGAACAAGCGGAAGAAGGAACCTGCCAAGAAAGCAGAATCCAAGAGGAAGGCCCGAGCGCCAAAGCAAAATGCTGAAGCTGAAGATGCTGTGAACGCCGAGGAGATTGAACAGAGCCAATGTGTTGTTTGGTCCCCTGTTTCAAAGGTTGGTGCCATATTGGTTGCAAGGAACATGCAATGGATCCCTGTGCAGGACCAACCTGCTTCTGAGCTTGGTGAGGTGGATGCCAGTCCAGAGCAGCCTTCAAAGGATGGGCCTGCTCAAAAGAAATCCAAGAAGGACCAGGATGGGCAGGATGCCAAGACCTTTGCTCGCCGGTTTTGCCCAAAGACATCCCCTGCTCGTGAGCGGTGGTTGGCTGTTCGAGAGATCTTCAACAAGCAGCTCAAGTCCTATGTCACTGACATTGGCTTTTCATCACATGCCATGGAGGCTCTGACGTCAAAAAGATTCACCCTGATGGTGTTTGCAACCACATCTGGGTTTTACTCTGTTAAATCAAGGTTAGATTCCAGTGTTGGGTGTGCTGTGTTCAAAACAGGTTGTGAAGGAACATAGATTCATGCAATGTGCAGTTTCCATTCAGGTGGAATGGTGGGATTGGTGTTCTGATGCTTTGCAGACGCACGAGGAGATTCAGCAGCTTAGCCGCCGAAGTTCATCTGAGGAATGCTTGACCGTTCTGACAAGAGCAGTAACGGTGGAGATGAAGCGCTTCTTAGATGAGACCATGCTCATGGTGCAGTAGGTTCCTTCATGTCTTTTCCAAGAGATCTATGTGACACGGTGCTCCATCTTACCATATAATATTGTTGAATTCCAGAAAGTTCAACCCATCTTCACAACAACGCACGTCAGATTCACCACGACATGGTGTTGTGTTGCGGGCTCGGCCTTGGCTCCATCAATTGAAAAGATCTCGAGGCATGTTGGCAACCAAATTGCCGCCATTCTAGGAAACACAGCTTTTTGTGCTGTACTTGGCCACTTGATGCAATTCAAGGGCACCTCTAACCTTTCATGTGCGGGGCATGTTGAGATACCAACAAGCCCTGTTGACAACAAATTCGTTTGTTAGCTGGGTCGTGGCAAGGCTATAGATTGTGAGCCTCACATCGCTTGCTCACTGGAGGTTCTTGCCTGGGGTGAAAGTGTGTTCCATTTGATTGTCACGTGTTTGCCAGGACATCAGAAAGATTGAAGGGGGACAGTGGAACAGGTCTGCGTGTGAGCTCCTTCTGTTACCCCCAAGGACTCAAAACAGTAGCGATATAGTAATTGAATCTCTTGATCCTGACCTACGGATAGAAAGTACTTCAATAGAATTCAGTGGCCATGGTTGGCTCTTCTTAGTTATATATATGCATGCGTTCCGTCACTTCCGTTGCCCGTTCTGCCAGGTGAACCTATGGCAGAGTTCCGGTTGCGAGGAGGCATCAATCTGGCCAAGTTTGGGATCGGTCCACAAGCACGTGTGCCTGGCATTTTTCCGATGCCAAGCCATATTCAAATTGAATTTGATCTTTAATTGATATGCATGTAAAGTATACTTTAAATTGGATGTTTGATACATAGCACACTCGATCTGTTGCTTGATGCCTGGCAGATTCAAGCACCATTTAAAAAGTCTTTTGGCTGAGGTTGATGGTAAATCTGCAGCTGTTCAATCTGTATCATTTCAATCGACCTTGTCAGTTCAAGAGTGTGCACAAGTATATTATAGAAATACTAGTTTATAAACATGTTTAAACATGAACCCTATTTATTTATCTTATCCGACTCCTCGACCTGGAGTCTAGCGGCCATGTCTCCAGAGCAATTTGAC